CCATTCGAATACTGCCTCTTTGCGAAGGAGCTTGAAGAGGGGGAGCACATGTTGGGCAGATTTCGCCACGAATAGAGAGAGAGAGAGAGAGAGAGAGAGAGAGAGAGAGAGAGAGAGAGAGAGAGAGAGAGAGAGGTGAGCATGCCATTAAGGATTTGAACGTACTTTTTCTAAGTGGGCGTTGGAAATTCAAATAATGTTTGACATTTTTCGGGGTTTGCCTCAATGCCTCATTCTGTTAGGTAGAACCCAAGGAACTTGCCCGCTCATACCCCAAAGGTACATTTTTCCAGGTTAAACCGCATCCGACACTTTCTGGCCTGCTCAAACACTTTATTTAAGTGGAGGGCATGGTATACCTCTTCCGTGGATTTGGAGATCATGTCGTCTATGTAGACTTCGAGCATGTCGCCTATCTCGTTGCGGAAGACTTTGTTCATCATGCGCTGATATGCAACGCCCATATTTTTTAGGTCGGAGGGCATTACATTATAGTAATAGTTGCCCGACTCGGTCATGAAAGTGGTATATTTTTTGTCCGCTTTCGCCATTGGGATTTGGTTATAACCAAAATATTCATCCATAAATGATAGCAATTTAAAATCGGCTGAGTTGTTGACCAGTTTGCCAATATTGGGGAGAGGATAAGCATCTTTCAGGCAAGCCCAATTGAGATCAGTATAATCAATGCACATGCGCCATTTTCCATTAGATTTTCACAAGAACTACATTTGAGAGCCAGGTTGTGTACTGGGCTTCAGAAATAAAATGTGCCTCTAGGAGGACTTTTACAGCTAGTTCGGTAGCCTCCGCTTTTTTGGGGGACTATTTTCTCCTACGTTGGGCGACCGCCTTGAGGGCAGGATCTATGGTCAGGTGATGGCATGCAATCTCTAGATCTAATCCAGGAATCTCATCCGCACTCCAGGAAAATACGTCAGCATTCTCTCTTAGGCAAGTCTTAAGTTGCCATTTCACCAAGTCGTAGAGGTCTGCTCCAATCTTCACTCCTTTGGTGGGGTCGTTCCCGAGGGGGACGAGCTCGAAGTCTCCGTCCTGGATTGGTCGTGCACGATCTGAGAGTTCCTCACTACCTGCAGATGGGGTTGAACCTTTGCCTTCGACCATGGGTTATTTCCATTCCTTTCTCTGTTATACACGATCTTCTTTGGAGAAGCGATTATCGAGGTCGATGGCGTCGACCCTCGGCAATAGCTTGGCTTCCTCGCAGCTGGAGGGAAGTGCGGCCCCGCTTGTCGTTCGAGGTTGAACATTGATGGAACGGAGGCCTCTGGCTGAGGCTTCAAAACACCTCCTTGCCGCTTGGATGTCCCCGTGGAGGGTGGCGACCAAACCCTCAGCGGTGTAGTACTTTATCTTGAGGTGCACGGTGGAGGGAAATGCGATTAGCTCAGTGAGAGTTGGTCTCCCAAAGATGCACTGGTAAAGAGATGGGCAATATACTACCAGAAATTAGGTTTTGATGGCTCTGGCCATCACTCCTCTCTCGAAGGTGACGATCAACTCGATGTATCCCCAAGGTTTTGTACTGACCCCGTTGAAGCCCTGGAGATCTGAACCAACGTATGAGGTCAGATGACTTTTATTCAACTGCAGAGTGGGGAACAACTTAGTGTATATAATGTCTATCGAGTTTCCATGGTCGAACAAAATATGTCGCACATAGAAATTCTCCATGCGAGCTCCTATGAACAGTGGGATGATCGAGTTGGGGGCCAGCCTGGTAGTTCTTCCCCGTAGAAGGCGAGGAAGTGAGAACCTTCTCCGAACGTGTCTAGCGTGGTGTCCATGTCGGAATTGGCTCTGATGAGTTGGTTGAATCTTATTTTCACAGACCCCACCCTATACCTATTGAATCCCCCGCCAAAGATGACCATAGCAGCGGGAAATGAATCCCAAGGGCTATGAGAGGAGAAATATAAAGGAAATCTCTCCATGTCTGGGAGGTAGAAGTCTTCTGGCCGTGAGATGCTCATGGCGACTGGTATGGCGTTAATGTCAGGGGACTCCTTCCCCTCTTCGATATTTTTGGATTTTGGAGCCTCTTCACGGGCGGCCTCTTCTGGTGCCCGTCTCGAATTAGTATTTTGATTACATCCTTGATATGGATGCAATTCTCAGAGTTGTGCCCATGACTTTTGTGGAACCTGCAGTATTTTCTTTTGTCGGTTCCTGGTTTCAAGGGCGTTTGTCAGGGAAAGTGTACCCCGGCCTGTTTGAATTCAGAATTTGTGCATTCAAATAGGATACAATCCCTTGAAGTAATCAAAGGGGTGTAGTCGTGGAACCGTCAGGCGGGTCCCTTGTAGTCTTTGGGATCCCGTGATCTGTCTTCCCGTTTCTTCTCTCCTCGATGAGAAGTCGAGGGTTCATCATTTCTTGAGGGTTTGGAACTCTCTTTGTGCCTTGATTCTTGGACGCTATTGGCGGCTTCCTTCTCCCCGTACTGTATGTACGCTTGAGCCTTGAGGAGGATGGAGTCGAGCGTTGTCGGTGTTTCGATGCCCACTGCTTTAGAGAAGTCGCTGCGGGGACGGAGCATGCGCTCAAGGAGGTATTTCTTCATGTTGTCGATTGTAGAGACATGCACTGCTTCCTTGTTGAAGCGCTCGATGTATGCCTGGAGAGATTCATCCCTACCTTGGATGATCGCTTCGAGCGAAGCCCCTGACTTTGGGTGTCGACGTGAGACCGTGAAGTGCCTCAAGAACATCCTCCCAAGCTGCTTCCAGGAAGTGATGGATTTATCTGGGAGACTCTTGTACTAGGAGATTACTCCTTTCCTGAGAGTGGTCGGGAACAATCTACATTTGATGGCTCCTCTGGCCCCTCGGTAGTCGAGGAAGGCGTCAATGTTCTCTACATGTTCGTCGGGATCTGTCGTCTTATCATACGTCTCCATTGGGGGTGGTTTCTCAAGTTCGATAGGGAGTGGTGCCTCTGTAATTTCTCTTGACAACGGTTTGCAGGGCTCGTCGTCGTTGCTATCTATAGGAGACGGAGAAGGGGAGTGATAATTCCGTCCATGTCGGGTGTCGTGGTCTTGACGAGGGGAAGAACTCCTCCGTTGTTGCCTTAGCTTGGGCGATGGTGATCGACAGCGATCGGTTTGGCAGTCGCCTTTCTTTCTCTTGGATGATAGAAAGTCTTGATCTTTCGGGGGAGGTGTGCGGTCGCGTTTCTTGAAGAAAGAAACGTCACACTTCTCCTTCATCAATGGAGGGCCACGGCTTGGTGGAGATATGTTGGGGGAATGTCGTCGCCGGGTTCTCCGGGGAGGAGATTTCGACCACTTTTGTTTCCAGGCCCCCATCTTTTTGTTTTGTTGTAAGATAAGGGCGTTGGTTTGGTTGATGACAGTGAGCGATGTTACGATGGTCGGGTCGGTGCTGTGAGGGATGAGAACTAGTTGTAGGATCTCTGGCAGTTCCTCATTGGGGATCTTGGGACGTTGTCCGTCCAAGAATTGCTTTTCGTCGCGCTGGGCATCGACGGAATCTGGAGACGCAGTTCGATCATCGGGAGGTCGAAATTATCCTCAAGGTGAGGATGTTCCTGACCTCAGTTAGTCTTGTGCATCGGGGAAAGTGAAGCCTTTCCAAATGGATGATGATCGTCACGGTCAACCATGATTGTTGGATGGAGAGGATCTTTAGTTTTCAGATTATAAGGAATAGTAAGCAGGGAAGATAGTTTGCCACAGACGACGCCACTGATCTTACCGATTGATCAGAACCTGCGAGATGGCTGACCGACGATCTTCTGTCGGGCTGGAAAGTCGAGGAGGAAAAATGGGGGTTGTACCTGCAAGGCACTCCGACGATCAAGTAAGTACGAGAGCGAAGAGATATAAAGCAAAGTGTTAGGATTTTAGTGGTGAATAATGAATATTCGATACCTAACCCTCACATGTGTGAGGGTTTATATAATGCCCCTGACGCATGGCCATTGATTCCTATTTTTGGGCCTAGATATGCGGACCCGTGAAAATAGATAACTGCCAGAACTTGGTCATATCGAGCAGGTGTGTTTGTAACTAGTCGTTGGTTCCGAGGAGATGTAGGTTACGGGCAGCGGTCTGGTCGGTTCCTGGTTGTCTGGGCGATTTGGTGTCGAACAGACTGAGAGTTGCTCGTTGATCACAGTGGGTCAGTGCCGGTTCAAGAGAATATACGATTGATGGTGTCCGATGAGCCGCATCAGAAGGAGAGACTAGACTGAGCCCACTCTGATTATCAGACCAGTCCAGAACATTTATGTACAGAAATATATTATTATAATAATTTTTTTTAAAAAATTAATTTTTTAATAGTAAAATAAAGTTGATTAATCAAATATAAAAAATTGATTAATAAATAATAAAGTTGGTTAATAAATAACTAAATATTAAATATAATTTAGTAATAAAAATTATCTAAATATTTATTAACCAACTTCATATCTTTATTAACCAATATTATACACTTCATTAATCAATTTTACTTTACTATTAAAAATTATTTATAATATCTAAATATTTATTAATGAATCAACTTTTTATTTTATATTAACTAATTTTATTTTATTACTAAATTATTTTTAATATCGAACGTTCATTAATCAATTTCATTATTTTATTAATTAATTTTTTATATTTTATTAATCAATTTTATTTTATTATTAAAAAATATTATTATAATAATATATTACTGTGCATAAATATATTTTTTGTTAAAAAATATTATTCATTATATAAATATGATAAATAGTTTGAATGTAGATATTCGTATAAGATAAATAGTATTGAGTGTAAATATTCGTATAAAATATGGGTGAATGAATAACGTTATTCTAAAAAAGATAAAAATAAGTAAAGAGCTAAGTTGATTAGACATTAAATCACACAAAGCGACGACAATAAAACACAGAAGAAGAAAAATACCCAATTTATTGTAAGTTCTAACATGAGCATATAATTTTTCATACTTTTCAATTAGCTATTAACGAGTTACAGAGCATTCATCCTGAATCTTCTTAGCCATAAACTGAAGACAATACTGAATATAAGACTCAAAATCCTCCAAACTCCAACCCTCGACAGGATCACAAACAAACCCCCACTCAATCAAACACCCAACACTTTCACCATCACCACCCACCGGAATCACTTTCAGTGTCGCCACATAAGACTCAAACCCCATGTTGTTCTCACCAACTTCATACGACAAACAACGTCGTACAGGATCCATCATCAACAGCTTCTCTTTCGCCCACTTAACTGTCGTCTCAGACTCAACAGCATCATCAGCTCCATCAGCTTCATCTTCAACAACCGCTTTTACTGTTGAAGAACAGTATCGAACCAAACCAGGTTGTCCTTGAACACCTTCAACGTGGTAACAAGTGTTTATCGGGATCCATTTGTGTAGGTTGCAGAAATCCTCTAAAGCCGGCCACGCTTGTTCCGCAGCGACGCTTGTTAGCTCGACCGTGAGTTTACCTTCCCAGAGAGATTTGGATTCTTCTCCCATCGGCGTCGTTGATTGCGTAGCTGGTAGTTTACGCGTAGTGACAAAGAATGTGGGGAAGGAGACATTTATATTGTCAACTACCAAACACTAGTCTAGTACTATAATTAATGCCAGGGAATCGATAGTGAACCACGCAAGTTCTTTCAACCGTCGAATATTTATTTATGTCAGTGCTTTTCGTAAGGGAAATGGATTCTCACCCAATTTGAAAGTTTTCTAGCTGGCATCAGTACATGAATTCACTACGTTTTTACTTTATTTCTTATTAAGTTTTCTACCTGGATTATCATAATTATTTTTAAATGAATGAAGTATATATTTTTAAAACATCACTTATTAATATTTGTGCAATGCATATAAACTTGTTTGTATTTAAATTATCATATTTCTGCTGTCTCACAAATAAAATTGCCATATTTGTATATAAATTTTTATGGTTTTTCCAGTGGTTTTGGAAATGCATTTTCAAAGTGTTTTTTAAGAATTTATATCGAAATAAATTTAGTTATAAAAATGAAATGTGACTCAAAAATAAATGAATTATATATGATTGAGGAAGATTTAAAAATATATTTATGAAATTTAAATATATTTTTAAAATTTCATGAGGTTTGTAATAAATGTATGGAATGCATTAAGAAACTCCTATTTAATTAATTTCTCAAAAATATAAATTGAAATTATTAAATATTAATTAATATATTCTATACAAAGTTAAAGTTAAATTTATTCTCTATAAAAAGTTTGATTGATTAATTTCAAAATGAATTGTTGTATAAAAATTAAAAATGATTTAATTTTTTTTATAAAAAATTATAAATAAAGTTATTGAAAATATTAATTAATAATTTTTTATTATTTTTTTATCCTAGTCAACGTCAACATGTCATTATAAATAAATACTTTATTTTAAACATCACTATAACATCTACAAAAGTGAAGAGGGATCAAAAAAATTTTAAAAAAAATTATAATTAAAAGACCAAATATTTGAATTTTGAAATAGAGGAAAAAAAGTTAAAAATAGTCAAAAATGCATTGAAGTTAACTTTAAAAAAATTATTAAAAAGAGCATATTTCATTTAAATTGTAAATAACATCAATAATATAAATAAAAAAGAAGCTATTTTTACAAATAACTTAAAAAAATATCGTATCATATTCTATTTTTTAAAAATGTAACGTATTAATTATCACAAAGCCAAACTAGTATATATGAATGTTATAATAGGGCGTTCATGGTCATTTTCAAACTAAGCATTTGACCCTGCCATATTTGTATTTAAATTTCCATGGTTTTTTTTCTAGTGGTTTTAGAAATGCATTTTTAGAGTGTTTTTCGAAAATCTATTTTCAAAATAAATTTAGTTATAGAAATGAGGTTTGACTCAAAAAATAAACTATATATATTTGAGGTGGGCTCAGAAATATATTTGTGGAATTTGAATATATTTTTGAAATTTCATGAGGTGTGCTAAAAATACATGAAATGCATTAAGGAATTCCTAATTTAATTAATTTTTCAAAAATCTAAATTGAAATTATTAAATATTAATTAATATATTCTATTTTGAAAAAAATTAATTTTATTTGTAGGATTTTTCTTTGAAATAATGAGGTAACATCATTAGTTGGAAAATCCTGATAGCATAAGAGAAAGTGTGTAAGCCTAAAATTAAAGGTGGTCTCAACATCATGGACTCAGAGGTTTGGAATAAGACGTTTTTGCTAAAATTGATCTAGAATATTTGTGCAAAATCTGATAATATGTGGGTGCGTCAGATTCATGCATATTATCTTCAGCATGAAGAGATTATGAGCAGAGATGTCAAAAAAATTGATTCTGGGATTTTTAAGGCTATGTTGCATCAGAGGGTGATCATCAAAGAGATGCAGATAGACTGGGATTGTATGTTGTAAAAAGGGGTATTCTCAGACAGGAAAGTTTACCAAGTTATACTCCCCGATACCCTTATTGTCAACTGGTGTAATATGATCATTCGTAACAGAGTTAGGCCTAGGGCAATAATGATTTTGCGGATGGTTTGTCATGGCAAGCTGACTACAAAGTCGAGATTGCATAGGTTTGGTGTGGTTAACAATACTCAATGTGTGTTTGTAGACGAGGAGGAAACTATTGACCATATGTTCTTTGGCTGTTTGAAACTTAAGCATATTTGGACTGGTGTCCTCAATTGACTTCGAATTCAGCACTTTCTAGGCGATTGGAAAGATGAGTTGAATTGATTTCTTTTGCACTTTCGGGGAAAAGGTTGGAAAGTTGACATTCTGAGAATGGCCCTTGCTGAAACTCTTTATAAGATTTGACATTTTTGTAATGATATTTGTTTCAACCATAGTAAGGATAATAAGAATATTGTTGAGAATATTATTAATATGATTGTGTATAGAGGGTGAACTAGTCCTAAGCTTATACCACATATAACAAATGTGTTATTGCCTTGAGTTATAGATTGCTTTCTTTGTAGTTTTGCGGGTTGGATCCAAGCGATTACTTTGTTTTATCTATATTTGAATTAATTTCATTTTTTATTCAAAAAAAATTAATATATTATGTGAAAAAATTAAAGTTAAATTTATTCTCTAAAAAAAGTTTGATTGATTAATTTTAAAATAAATTGTTGTATAAAAAATTAAAATAATTTAAAATTTTTTAAAAGAAAATTATTAATAATATTATTAAAATATTAATTCATTTTTATTTTATTTTTGTTATGCTAATCAACATCGACGTGTCATTAAAAATAAATAATTTATTTTAAACATCACTATAGCATCTACAAAAGTGAAGAGGACAAAAAAAATTAAATAAAAAAAAATTAAAATTAAAAGTCCAAAAATTTGAATTTTGAATAGAGAAAAATAAAGTTAAAAACACTCAAAAATGCATTTAAATTAAACTTTAAAAAAATATCTTTCATTTAAATTATAAATAACATCAATAATATTAAAAAAATAGCTATTTTTACAAATAACTTTAAAAAATGTCGTCACTACATCAAAAAAGACTTACGAAAGCGTTTTTTTTGGCCTTTAAAAGCGCTTAAAAGCGTTTTCTATGGTGGCGCTGCTATAGGTTTTAGCAGCGCTTTTTGTTTAATGAAAAGTGCTTTCTTAAGTAGGCTTTTGGCAGCGCTTTTTTATGAAGAAGCGCTTTCATAGGTCTACCTAAGGCAGCACTTTTTTTTCTGGAAAAGCGCTCTCATAAGTTTTCTTTTAGCAGCGTTTTTTTATGGAAAAGCGCTGTCATATATTTACCTTAGACAACGCTTTTTGTGAAAAAGCGCTTTCATAGGTTACCTAAGGCAGCGTTTTTCTTGAAAAAGCCCTTTCATATGGTATTTTTTTTAGAGGTATAATTTATATAATTCATATACCTGCATTGTTTGCAGCATATTATTTATATAAACCAGTTGCCATAACCTGTAATTCATAAACCGCGGTAATGCATTGTATACCATTGTAATCCAAAATATATATACACCATTTTTGTACCTCAAAATATATAAAAACCATTGTTATCAGCATTGTAACTCAAAATCAGTCTTACAAAATCAACCATAACAACAACTAAATCAGTCCTAATGTATGAAAGAAACACGGTCAATTATGTATTAAGGTCCTGGTACTGCGAGGTTTGAACATAATAACACAGTCAATATGGTATTCCATGTACACATGTAACGTATTCATAACACTTTTCACATAATAATGTATTCATACCTTATATGATTCTCTGCTCAATAAAATATTGACACAATTCCTCTTTGATTTCTTCCAACTGAAGTTTCGTGTAATATGCACATTTGTATTCATCGAAGTACTACATAACAAAACATAATATGCATGATTTAGTTAAAAGTAAAAAATTATATGAAATATCCGAGAAATAATAAAACAAATCCTAAGTTATAAATTCATACCGTGACTGGAATCTCTATTTGATTCAGTTGAAGGATTTCTTTGATAAACCGCATAACGAAGTATCCGCAATCTATACCGTTTTGCTGTTGAGGACACTACATAGAAAAACAAATAAGAATATATAGTTGTATTATTTTATCAAATAGCATAAATATTATAAGCAAAATAGTGGAAATTAATATACCTGCACCTTGATCCAATTAATGTTGTTTGATTTAGACCGTCGTACCCGAGCTTCTCTTTGACACCGGAATACTTGTATCGCTCTAACAAAATAAAAATATATATTTAGAACAATGTCACAGAAATAATTAAATATATAAATACACACAAATATTTTGAATAATCTCACTTACGTATCAATCATTAACTTCATATCCGGATAATTTGTCCAATCACCGTCAACCGAATTCAGATAATAGACCACTTCTTTTATAGGATCGATAGTAACCAACAACCAGTGACGTCTATAAATTAAAACAAAAGTTTAGAAGAAAATTTTCTACGCAAAAATTACAAATATTAAAATGAACTTAGAATGAAAATCTAACCCTGTAGGAATAGTATTATACGCCCAAAGATATAAGCTTTCTGTACTGCCAGTTGCCATGAATCTTTCGACTAAGTGATCTCTTACTGAATCTGGTTCCCTACCAATTGTCGCTCCGCTGACACGGGAGGAAGACATGAAATGGAATCTGTTTGACAATTGATTCCCGCGCATCAATTTGTCATATAACAACCTTAAATAAAAACATAATTAATATTAGACTATAACTACTTATTCATTCAACTTTTTAGCAATGCATACCGACAGTTACAATACAAGTCAAACTATTTTTCAAGTGGCACTGCATGATTTAGAAGTTCAAGATGGAGGAAAGTTCGAAATACTTACCAGTGACCAGTATTAAACAGTAGGACATCATAGAAACCTGCAATCTTAGCCCATTCATCTGCAGGAACATCAACGTCAACTCGATGAATACCTTCTGACCCATCTTGTATCCCAGCTTCAGATTGCTTTGGCTGCCACCTTTGTTTAATCAGTAATT